TAGTGATTTCTTACAAAACTAAACGTATTCTTACCAGAGGATCCAGCAATCGTGCTCCTTGGTATTTACTCAAAGGAGTTGAAAACTTATGTCCACACAAAACTCTGCACATGCATGTTTATAGCAGCTTTATTCATAATTGCCAAAAAATGGAAACAATCAAGATGCTCTTTAGTAGGTCAATGGATAAATAAACTGTGGTACATCAGGACAATGGAATATTATTCAATGCTAAAAGGAAACGAGTTATCAAGCCATGAAAAGACACAGAGGACCCTTAAATGTATATTACTAAGTGAAAAATGTCAATCTGAAAAGGCTACATACTATATGGTTCCAACTATATGACATTCTGGAAAAGGCAAAACTATGGAGACAGTAAAAAGATCAAAGGTGGCCAGAGGTTGGGAGGCAGGAGGATGAATAAGCAGAGCACAGAGGATTTTTAGGGCACTGAAGATACTCTGTATGATACCATAGTGATGGATACGTGTCATTTTGCATTTGTCCAAACCCATAGAATGTAAAACACCAAGAGTGACACCTTCATGTGAACTATGGACTCTGCACGATTATGATGTGTCAAGGTAGGGTCATCAGTTGTAACAAATGTTCCACTCTGGTGGGGGATGTTGACAATGGGAGAGGCTATGCATGTGTGGGGGCTAAGAGTATATGGGAGTCTCTGGACCTTCTACTCAATTTTGCTGTGAACCTAAAACTGCTCTAAAAATATAAAGTCTTGATGAAAAATGTCTTTAAAAAACTTGAGCCCAATTGGCAAAAGAAAAATAATAATACTGATATTATATATATTTATATATATTATATATTTATATTGAAGTATTAATGATGTATGAATGACTCATCACTTTTATTTTCTTGCTGGAGCTACTAGGTAGATAAGATATAGATCCCAAGATATGAGCTTTCCAGAAAGTGAATGTGAACATTAACATTTAAGAGATGGGTGGAGCAGCCCACAAAGAAGTCAGAAGGAACAGAAGTGCAGAAGAAAAATAGAAGAATGTGATGTTATCATCAAAGTATGAGAGCAGCTAGCAGTGTCAAAGTGACAGACACTATTTTAGGGAATATTATGAGAACTTCAGAGTTTTCATGTAGGAAGGAGAGAGGGGAACTGAAGAATTTATTTTCCCACAAGATATGCAAGCATTCAACCCTTTGACAGCCCACGGTCCCAAAGGCACACAATTAAGTTCTTTCATTTAGAGAAACTTATGAGAGTATCCAGAAGGAAAGAATTTCAGGCGTTATAATTCTTCACATGCACAATCTCTATAAAATGGTTCACAGCACAGTTTCTTCTTGTCTATTATTTACATCTATAAGAATATCACTTAAAAACATTGTTTGTCAAAACTAAAGCCTGTATAAATCCTCACACACTATATTACGCTGCCTCCTCCAAAAGAAACTTGAGTTTGGGTTTAAAGCCAGTTGGGATTCCATCATCAGCACTTAATAGTTCCCACATTGGGCAAGTTATTCAACCACCATGAGCTTCACTTTCCTCTCTTGTAAGTGGAAATGATAGGGTTGCTTTGAGGATAAGTCAGATAATGCATGTAGTCAGTACTTAATGACTTGCAATAGTACTAAAGCTCTCATAATATATTTTAAAATACCATTGTTTTTGCTTTTGTTACTCTTCCTCTCAATACCTATATCCAGGTCTTTTGTGTTTGAAAAGTACCTGTAGAGGCTGGCCCGGTGGCACAGCAGTTAAGTTCTCAGGCTCCGCTTCTGTGGCCCGGGGTTCACCGGTTCAGATCCCAGGTGCAGACCTACATACCACTTGTCAAGCCATGCTGTGGCAGGCATCCCACATATAAAGTAGAGGAAGATGGGCATAAATGTTAGCTCACGGCCAGTCTTCCTCAGCAAAAAGAGGAGGATTGGTGGCAGATGTTAGCTCAGGGCTAATCTTCCTCAAAAAAAAAAAAGTACCTATAATCATGCTCTGACTCACATACACTTATTATAACTGGTGTTAGTATAAACAATGTGGCATCTCCCTGACAAAATTGAGCCCCTGCCTTTCACAGAACTTTTTTTTTTTTTTTTTGCCCTCAGCACTTCAGTGGTATCTGACTCCTACTAATACACCACATTAAGGAACTGAAGGACAGAATCATGATAACCTCGACAGATGCAGAAATAATGAAATTCAACATTCATTTATGATTTTTTTAAAAAACAAATACTCTTAGCAAATCCAGTTAGACCAGACATTCAATAATCTAATAATGAATATCTACCAAAAAAAACAAAACTTCAGCCAATATACTTCGTGATGAAATAATGAAATTTATTCCCTTTGAAATTGGGAACAGGGCAAGGATGTTATCACTTTTATTCAACAGTTGCTCAAGTTCATAGTAAATGCAGTAAGGCCACAAAAAAGTCATGAAAAGTATAATGTTTGAAAATGGAAAAATAAAAGTCAACTTCTACTATATGCAGATATGATTATCTATGAAGAAAACAAAATAATTCACAGATAAATCGTGAGTCTTAAAGAGAGTTTTGCAAGATTGCTGTATATGAAATCAGTATATAAAAATCAGTTCACTTCCATATATCAGAATGTGTTAGGAAATGAAATTTAACAAATGCTTTTGTGATGGCATCATAATATCATATACCCAGGAATAAATCTAACTAAAGTTGCTCTCGACCTGTATACAGAAAACTGCAAACATTAAGAGAAATTAAAGAAAACCCAGTTCTAAATTGTGTTATAAATATGAATAGATTGGAACACTCAATCTTATACATGTGTTAATATGAAATGATGTAATCTAAACTCTGATTTTTGTTTTTTTGACAAGCTGATTCTAAAGTTTATAATGAAATGCAAAGGATTTAAAAGAGTCAAGACTTTCTTAAGTCTTAAGCTGTTGTGTCTTTGGGGACAATTTTTATAGGCAAATCATATCAGTTGAATTTGTCTACTAAACCCCTAATTTCAACTTGGGGACAAGGAGGGACAATGTGATACAAGCAGTAGATAGAGCCCACTAGCTCCTAATCCTGGTAACCAAGTGCTATGAGTATAAACCAGGACGTAAGGATGATTAAAGTCTTCAAAAGAAACTGAAATAGCAAAGGGAGGAGAGGCTGTGGTCCAAGTGTCGCAGCGGGAGTCCCACCTCTGCAGCCTGGAATGATAACACTGGGGAGGAAGGTCTGGGGCTCTCTCGCTCATCTGCCCGAGTGGCGGTTGGTGACTTTTCAATTAGAAATTAGATAAATGCTAGAAGTGCGGATGTAGGAAGATGAGAGAATGGAGCTTTCCGTTTCCCTGACCCGACTCTCTGTGTGGGAGGTGCTAAAAATACAGGCGCTGGCTACAAGGCAAATGAAGTTTCTCAGACCTATGTGATTGCTTTTAATTCAGAAAAATTCCATTGTTACATGTAAGGTAATCTTTCTATTCTTGCAGACAGTTCTTCTGCCTTCTCAAAAGAGCTGGGCCAGGCTTTCATTCAGCTAGTTTGTGATTTTTTTTAATTATGTTGAGATGATAAGGTCTCAAATAATTTTCTACTTGGAAAAGTAGATAATTTTAAAGTAGAGCATTAAGGCTACCAATAGAGATACAGATCGTTTATTAGTAAACTATAAAAAATTATTTTGACATGATTTTTTAAAGGAAAACTTAACTTTGCTAGATGAGAACTGAGGAAAAGCAATAGAGAGAAATAAGCTGGAACAAAAATATATTTTAAAAGAGTTTTCCACTAAACACTTCAGGTATAGCTGATATCCAGATATCGGCTTCAGGCATAGCTGGATCCAGATGCTTTCACAGTATGACCAGAAAACTATCTGTATCCATCTCTCATCCTGAATTTCTCTGCATTATCTTCATTGTCTGAAAGACTTTTCCCACGTGGTGGTAAAGATGGACACAAGTAACTCAAGTCTTCATTCTACATAGGTCACAACTCCATGTTGACCTAAATCACACAGACAAAAAATGTGGAAGGGGGTTCCCCAGTGTAGTGCTTTGCTGATGAACATTTTTTCCACTGCAAAATAATTATTCACTAAGTGGAGCTGTGATAAACACCTATTGTTTAGAAAATATTTGCCACGCTTCTGACATCACCAGTCTTGCCAATATCCCCACCTTATTCTTAGAAGACACTTGGGTTGTCTTTGCTACTGAAGTCCACCTCCTTTCTGGGTCTTCGCACTCCCAGCTGGCTAGAGGCCACTGGAAACTGTGGTGTACCACGTTTTTTTCCATGGAAATTCTGGTGATTTTAAACCAGCAGTATTTTTCAAGTTGCCGTTTTTCTATTTAATAAAGTACTTAATATGCGTGAATTTTAAAGATGTGGCCCATAATTATTTGGCTCATATTTTGGGCTACTTTTGTCCCCCACAGCAGTCTTAATGAGATGCCTTAATTCCACAAGTAAACTTCCCCACCACTAAGTCATTCAACAGCCATTTACTAAGTACTTACCAATTAGGCTTTAATTCTTTAGGCACAGGGTAAGTTAATTCACAAGTAAATTAGAGTCTCTGTCCACAAGATTCCAGCGTAATGAATCTAATTTCCCCAAATTCAGACCTATCTCTTCTCGCCCTGATCTAGGCTTAGATTCACCCCTATGTAAGAAATTTAAATTTTGTCAACAAAAGTTCATATTTCGCGTTAACCAAAGTTGTTATTTGAAGGCAAATTCCAACAAGTGTGGTCTGATCCAGATGACACCATGCATAGCAAACAGCCCCAGGCCAGCTGCAGTTCTGAGTCGCATTTCAGCAAATAGAGCATGCATATGAAGTCTGACCCTCAGGCAAGCTCTCTGCAACTTCATTAAAATAGTGAATGTCATAAACTCCTGAAAACTAGCCCATGTGTCAGAATCTCTAACCAACGCGGTGCTCCCATGTGCTGTGCTTGAAGCAACTTAAAATAAAAGAAAAATATTTTCTCTTCTGTTCTCTCTCTTTTTCAGGAAGAAGCAAAAGTCAATGAATCAGAGACAACTGGAGGTGCTTTCTAAGGATGGAGTCCAAAGGGAAGTTGGAGTTTGTAGGAAATAGAATTTAATTCTTTCCTTTGTCCCTGGTGTCACCTGCTTAAGCTCTTGGTGGCAGCCAGTATTCTTAGTTATCTGAAGGAGAAGAAAACCTGAAGATGACTAGAAGAATCCAAGTCACGTGATCTAAAACAGAGTTGTGATGATAAATACAAACACAGTCAAGAACTCCCCCAAGCCCTGGCATTTCTAAAAACGGGTACATCCAAGTGCCAGGTCTGACACTGGGTGTGTGGGTGACAGCCCTCACTGACCACCGTGAGGGTCAGCTCTGTCAGGCTACCTGGACACAGGTCTTGTTTCAGGGACAAGATCTCCTTTGGGGACTCTGGGTGAACCGTTGGAGCTGTCTAACTGGCTGACCTGGGAAATCCACACCAAGTGGCCAAGGCACCAGAGGGATTGTGTTTGGACTTTAAACCACCTGCATGCAGTCTCTGCCTTGTTCTGGGACGCAGGTAAAGAGCTCATCTCCTTTGCAAAGCTGAGAAAAGAGTTTCCAGGGAAACACAAAAGCCAAGGTCAGTTTACATTCAGAAAGTCACTGCTCCAAAGATTCCATGAACCTCTCACTGCACAAGTGAGGAAGGCAATTCTGGGTGAAGCTGGTTCTTAACACATGTGCAAAGTAGACCCCTCAAGAGGTGGCTCTTCCTCAGCAAAGTGTCCTGCCTTCCTTCTGCCTTCCTGTGTTTGCAACTCTGGGCCCAGGAGCAAACTGATGACACCAGGCTAGGGGCATAGAGGACCATCCTTATTCACTGGGGACCAGCCTAGTCATTCATCTGCAACAGCAGATGCCAGGAGAGAAAGCTATTAAATTCAAAGGGCTTCACCAGTGACTGTTATATGCAAAGCACTTTTTAGGCAAAACACAGGGGAGGCTTTAGCAAATGAAAACAGCCAACTTCCTAATGCATTTTTCATCCACCTTCCTTTCACACGTGTACAATATGACAAATTCAGGCGGAGGTGTCCTGGGGATTTCTTGGAATAATTCATAACCAAGTGGCTTTGCTGTCATGTCACTACTCCCCATGGCCCACAGTCGAAGCCTCCTTTTCCATCTTCTATCCCTGGTGTTGTTTATTCTTTTTCACTATAATGTGACTTTGCCTTTTTAGCTCTCTCCTCCAAATGACACAAACGTTAGCTTAAGGCTTTGACATCTATTAAAAGACAAGATCTCCTTCAGGTAGTAATATACTTGATTACTGTTTTCACTTCAATGTGAAGTTTAGTATCCTATCAGCTGAGCCCAAAATAACCCCAACCAAGTTCACCAGTTTGCAGACTGTAGACTAAATATGGCCTTTAGATATTATGTTTGGCTGACCCAGTGATTTTTTTGTTTTGTTTTGTCTTGGTTTTGTTTGGTTTTGTTTTGTAATTGAATTTGAATGACTTTTGGCAGAAGATTCTTTCTCAAATTCCATAGACCCCACCCCTCTCTATTGCCATGAACCTTGCAGACATTTGAGTTTGTGATGCCTGCCCTATCTACTAAGTGGTGCTAGCAGACATCCATGTCTCATTCCCAATCTCAGGAAGAAAGTTTTCAATCTTTCACCTCTAAATTTGATAAGATTCTTTTTCTGTTTGTATTTGTACTTTTCTGAGATGTTCATTATCAGATAAAGACGATCTTTCCATTCCTAGTGTACTGTCAGTCATTATCATGAATGGGTGTTGAATTCTATCAAATGCCTTTTCTGTCTCTATTGAGGTGATCGTATTATTTTTCTCCCTTTTTTCTGTTCATTGCTAATCTACATTGCTTGATTATCAAATGTCAATTCAACATTATCTTCTCAGAATATCTCCATCTTGGTTGGGATATATTATCCTTTTGTACAGAGCTTGATTGTGATTGTAATTGTTTTGTTTAGAATTTTCACCTCACTTAAGAGAGAGCTTAGTTTGTTTGTTTGTGAGAGCTTAGTTTTTAATTTTCCTTTTTAGAGAAGGAAATGTCCTCGTTGGGTTGTGGAGGTCAAGGAATTGCTCAGCTCATCACAGAAGTTGGGAGGGGTCTCCTCTTCTCTGAAAGATCCTGACTAAAATGTATGTTATTTCACATTGTGAGAAGGGGTTTAATCTCAAATTCAATTTCTTTAATAGATATAGAACTGTAATCTTCTTTTTCTTCACATGACACTTTGGTGATTTGAGTTTTTCTAGAAATTTGAGCTTTTTTAAAATGAAATGTCAAGTTAATTGGTGTAGTGTTCTAAATAATAGTCTCTTATTACCTTCTGGACGGCTGCACGATTTCTAATGATGTCTCCTTTTTCATTTCTGATATTGTTAGTTTGAGCCTTTTCTCTATTTTTCATCAATTCTGCTAGGAGTTTATTGATTCTATTAATCTTGTTTCAGAACTAAGTTTTGGCTTTATTTTCTCTACTATACATTTGTTTTGAACTTAATTACTTTTAATGTGCAATGACTCAGATATGGCTGCACCATAAGACATAATTAAGGATCCAGATGTTTGTAACTATGTGTAGAATCATCACGAATGTGACAGATACAGACTCTGGCAATCCAGGTGTGCTGTGTAGGTGGCCCAACTGTCACAAGCAGCATTGCTGTCAGTGATGTGGTTTCATGAGATGGTGAACAGCTCACAGAATCATTCTAATCAAGCCAAATATAATCTTCTCTCAATTTAGTTATTACCGGAAGATTCAGTGTACTTTAAAACTGTACAGAAATATTTTGTGTTAATATAAAAGAAGTTAGGTTCTAGGTAGACTTTTTCATCCATGTAAATATCCAGCAAGACAATGTGGAAGTTGTGTAGGCTATGGGACAATTATTTGATTGCAGGACACTTTGTATCCCTGACCCCTCTCACTGAATGTCCATGATGTTTCCCAATCACTGTGACAAAGAGAAAATGAAAGGCCTTCTAAAATTTTCAAAATGCCCTTGTGTGGCTCTACCAGCCCCACTGACATATAACCACTATTATAAGGGAGAAGTCATATGGTGGATTACCCTCTCTTTTTCATTGTCAGAAATGGATCTTTCTTTAACTCCTCCATCTCCACTGTCATTTCGGGTTGACTACTGGGCTCCACTTTACCCCCCCTGCTGGGACATGCCTGGCTTCCCAGGGCTTGCCCTAACAGAGGCTTCCTCCAGGCTGTGTTCAGTCCATTCCTACTATGTAATAGCGCTTACTTGCCCCGCTACAGTGATGCTAGTGCAAGATCTGTTCCCAGCCTGTGTGGCAGCCTTGATTTTGGTCTCTCTAAAGCCCCTGTGGGCATGCTTCCACCCCACTTCTTCACGTGGGCCAGTGTAGCCTGTGCCTTTCATTGCAACAGGTGGTCACCTCGGCATAAGGCTGCCTCCCTGGAGGTCCCAGGGGATTTTCCAGATCCAAAATTGGCATAAGGGCTGAGCGGAGGCAAAATAGGTCCTGATTGGGTCTGGTGCTCCAGTTCATTACATATTTTGGGAGCGGCACCGAGATTATTTGTGAGTTTCAAATACCTTCACCCATGCTTTAACCTAGTTTCTGTTTTGTCTCTTTCAGCCCTCAAGTAGCTCCTCTTTTGGGCCAACATGGTATCGTGTATCAATTACAAAACTGGTATTCCCTATGCTAGTATAAAATTCTAGGCTGATGTTAACCCACCAAATTACAGGGGCTGCAGCTTCCAGTCCCTTAGCTAGCTGGGATTTCCCTGCCACTGTGTCCCTGACACTGATGGATTCAACATGTGTTTGATACTGGGGCCCTCAGCTCAGGGACCTGTGACACTGCGTGCACTGAGACAGCTTCCTTCCTCCAAGAATACCTACCTAGATTATACGTTAAATCTTTTCTGATCTTTTCTTTGACACAAGTTGCTGCTTACCTACCAAGCTAGGGGTGAGGCCAATGTCATCGGTAATGTGACCAGGGGCTCTCTGCTGCATGGCTGCTCAGGTGCTGACCTGACTTGATGAAACTCCTCCCTGTGTTGAAACTCCTCCTTCTGATGGAACTCCTACCAGCCATGCCCCTGCAGACCCAGGGTCCCATAGCCAAGCAAACCATGGCACCAACTGCTCACCAGGGCACTGCCAAATCAGGATTGAAAAGGAGCCTGACCTTTGCAGGAGTACTTATTTTTTGTTTTGTTTTTTTTATTTGTTTTAGTTATGCTTTCCTCTTTCCTGCTATGACCCAACAGTAATTGTCAGAGGGACATATGTAACCAATTTTAACATAACTAACAAATGGAACATACGTAAATCAATTTTAGCATAACTAACAAATGGTCAACAAATAGTTGGTCAAACTGTCCCTGAGTGTAGGTGTGATATAACAAGACAGGGCTGACCTGGGGGAAGCATTCTTCTATAAAGGATCCTATTTATCCAGGCAGCTGTTCTGGTACCAAATCTTGACTGCACCTACATTGGCATCAACCTTGTTTGTGTGTGTTTCTGCATTTCTGTCACTGTCCTGATCTTCCTGCTTCCTAATATTTTTCTATCCTCTGGGATTCTTACTCCACCTCCAACTTGCCAGGGTTGTCACTGCTTATCTTCCATCAAATGCAGACAAATCCAAGTGCGAGCAGAGAAGCACATGTGAGTGGTCCATTTGGAACGTTGGTCTCATTCTAACTTTGGCCACAAGCTGAGTCCTCTTGTATGTGGAATGCTGGTCAGTTAGGTGCTTGAGGTAGGTCGTGCCAATAGTGTATCGTAAAATAAGAACATGCAGAGAATGGACTCTGGGAGACATCAGTGTGTATAAGCGACATAGACACTGACTAAAACTTTTCTTTGTAAATATTTTCTTTATAGTTAGTCACTAAAAATTACAGAGCTTCAGTCCCTAAAAATGTATTTCTTATGCATAATCATTGAAACCAGAAATGTAACCTGATTCTGAAATTGCAACAGAACATTTTATTCTGGTTTTCTTCATGGGAAATGACTGACTTTGGTAGAGTAGAAATAGAAAGTTAGAAGCTTACGAAGAAGAACCAAAGATGCGTATTGCTCAAAAGATCCATTGCAATATTTGATCAATCAAATTTCACATGTAAAATTTAAAATGGCTAGAGAGTATCGTAGCATTGGCTTTGTAAAGAACTAAGCTATATGGGAATTAAACTTTTGGCTGCTCAAAAGCTTTTGGAAATATCTGGTCAAATGGATTGATTCTCAAACGCAGAGATCGTTCCAGATGCCCCTGCGGGGTCACAGTCCCAGACCACACGCATCTCCTCTCAACGTTCTTGTGTTTTCTCTGGCTCAGTCACCAATGGCCACACCAGATATCTGAGAAAATTTTTTCTCCTTTGACAGAAAACCTATTCAAGAGGGGTTGTGTACAGAAAAAGTACCTATTTCCATCCAACTTCTGTAGCCTTTTCCCATTAATATGCTGTGTTGCTAACATAGAAAAGTCTGCCATGGAAAGTGAATTAAGTGTTGCTATTAAGGAGCATGGGCTGGGAGGTTAGAAAGGAGAATTTAAAGCATGCTAAGATACCACTCCTGGGAATTCTGACACATCATATTTCCTTAGTATCAAGATATATATTCAAAACACGTATTTAAAAAAGAAAAAAACAACCAGAAAATTGGTTAAGCACATGAGTCCTTCGTATAACCAAATACTGTATTATCACAGTTCCTAATGTAGATTTGTACTAAATCTCATTGAAAATAGTCACAGAAGTGAAAAAAATAAATTACAGAACATACGTGGTTGGTCAAATTTTGTAAAAATATATTTATTCATGTGTTCATACAAAATCCAGATAGAGATACATAAATGCGTAATAATGGTGATTATCTCTGAATGATGGGGTTTTAGACAACTTTTGTTTTTTTTTTTTTTTGCTTTACTGGTCCTAAGTTTTCCGGAAGGGCCTTGGATTGATTATGTAATAAATATGCTGAATACAATAAAAAGTACCGTATTTCCCAGTGTCCCAGCCTCTAGTCAATGAAATGACTAGTGGGAATGAAAGTGGGTCCACAGTGTTTGGAGTGGCTTCGTGGCCTTTCTAACTGTTGCCTTACCTGCCAGCTCTCTTGCTTTGAAAACTTCTGTCCTACATTAAATGCTGGATGGGTTGATGGAAAATCATAGCTGACTTTAGCTTTTACCGTAAATGAAATGGGCTCATTTTATCTTGTAGTCTCAATGAAATTTACGTTCTAGATATGGCTGGTTGTAAGTACGGCATGAGGTTGTGTGCATTAAGATTGCATCAAAATGGTTTATGCATTTTAATTATTTACTGCTGTTTTTAACTGAAAGATAGAGATCAGAAAAAGAGGCCCTCGCCAAACTATGAATGGCTGAAGTGTGCCATATTCAGTATTCTGTGTCCGTTAGGACTAAGGCAGAGCTGTCTTTTCTCTAATAGCATAATCCACTACACTTAACTTTGTATCCCTCTTCGTGTTAGTTAAGTTATGAGGGCATTAGAAGATTAAAACTAGTACTTGAGGCTTTATGACACACTGTTCTACAAACAGCCTCTAACTTTTAATAAACATTGTTTTACCATAAGAGAAAAATTAATCTGTAACTATGGACTTGTTTCAGGTTTTCCTTCAGGAGAGATTGAGCTGGTAGGCTAGGATAGCACCTGGTCGTGGTGTTTACATAAGGAGAAAGATGACTAAGACTCAAAGATGCCTTGACTCAAAGGTAAGTAGCAGAAGTTGCTGATCATAAGAAAGCAAGTGTGAAAATGACAATTAACCCACATATTGAAAGTACACTAAAATCCTGTTTTACAGATGAGGGAACCAAGAAATGACAGAGTCAAGATTTTAGACAATTTTTGTTTGATTCAAAACCCACTTTCCATGAAACTATAATATCCTTATAGTTTTACTATGCCTCTGTAGTATTTCTTATGCTTTGCACAAGGCCACCACATAATAAATGCTGTAGGTGTTTGCTCACTGATACGACAATGAAAAGAAGTGTTTATCATCATATTCACATATATATGGCTAATGGAAATTTTTGCAACATAGAAAAATCCAAAAGACGTTAAATTTTTGTTGCTGTAAATGTGAATCTCGTGTATTCTTTCCTGAAAGGTGTTGTGATACAAAACATTTAAACTTGCTTATTGAGAAGAAAGAAGGCTTCTACTCAGTTTTGATCCCATTCCAAACCAAAGGAACTCTTGTGCTAGGTTTTGAAACAAAGCGCTGAAATGATACATGTCCCTTGCTAGACTGTAACCCACAGTCCCTTAATCCAGATGACCTCAAGGCTTGACCAGAGAATGCTCAGCTGCTTCTTCCGGTTACCTTTTCATGCTGGCTTGTCCTTAATATAGCTCATGCTCCCCAGATGTATCAGCTGCTCGCTCTCGTTAACCCTTGCTGGTCTCATAGGCATTAACCCTAGCTGGTCTCATAGGTGACACGGGCTGCTTCTCTCAGACACAGTGGGCAAGAAATATCTCCTAATAGAGAAATTTGCAGATGTTTCAAGTGTCATCAGGGCAGGACAATACCATGCAGCAAAGCTACTGAATGCATGTTTTTATTTTAAATATTTTATTTTTGAAAATTAAAAAAAATAGAATAATATCGTAAACTCCCCATGTGCCATTATCCAGCTCCAACAAAATGATTTCATATATACCCTTACCCACATCCACCTTCTCAAATTGTTTTGTAGCAAATTCCAGACATTTTATTTTCTGAATAAACATTTCATTATGTAACTCTAAAAGAAAAGGACTCTCTTCTTGTTACGTAACCACAATATCATAATTGTATCTTAAAAATGATTAATTCTGAATGTTATCAAATATTCAGTCAGTGTTCAAATTTCCAATTATATCTTTAATGTCATAAGTTTTTCTAGTTTGAATCAGGATCCAAACAAGGCCTACATGTAATGATTGGTTAATATGTTCCTTTTACATTTCTTTTTGCCTACTGATTTCCCCTCATCTTTTCTTTTCCTCTTTACAATTTATTTGCTGAAGAAACCTGATGGTTTGTCAAGATTGTTAGGATTTTGCTGGTTATATCCCCATAGTAGTTTAACACGTTCCTCTTTCCTCTAGATTTTCTGTAAATTAGTAATGGGATCTGGAGAACTGACCGGATTCAGATTTGATTTTCTGAAAAGTCTCCTCATTAGGAGGTGCTTTGTTCCTCCATCAGAAGAATCTAATATCTGGTTATCTTTCTCTTTTTGATATTAGCATAATCAATGCTCAATGCCTAATGGTGATTCATTTTGGGTTACAAAAGGATGATGTTCCTATTCTATCATTCCTTTTTTATTTGTTGGCTGAAATACCACAATAAAGAAAATCTTACTCTTATCTACTATCTGATGACCCAGTGGTTCTTTGTTTGTGAGTTTTCAAAGTAATCATTGGTTCTCTAATGTTATCTAATGACTGAACAATTATTTTTTTAAATATCATTGTGAACTCACAGATTGAAATTTATTTGATGTGTTTCAATCTTTTGAAGGTTTTTTTCCTCATTGATCTTCAAGTTGCCTCACCTTTGACAGTCTCTGCAAGTTGATTGCTAAGTCTTTAACACAAAGCTTGTGATCTTGTATAGCTTCCTTGGGATCTGATGTGATGAGAGTTTCCAAGAAGATTTTGTATATTTCCTATCCCAGACCTGGAATTAGCTCGTTCTCCAAGGAGCTCTGACTATTTTCAGAAGGAAACTGGATTTCAACAGCAAATTCTGGGTGCTGGAGGTACTCATTGCTACTGGGTGCATCAGTATTTCTAGGAGTTTTGAGTTGAAAAAATTAGAAAGTCGTTTTTTCAAGCAGAAAATATCAGTTTATATTGATACTTCAAATTCGGGACTAAAAGGTCTTCACTTAATCTCTTCTTTCTCACGTGTGTTTTTCCCTTCTCTCTTGCCAAGAATCTTGCTTATGAAGGACACTGGATAATAGGATTATAATATTGCAGAATTATATTTTATATACGCAACACTTTTTGAATTACAAAACCATCACTACCACCCATAATGTGATTACTGAAAATTGTTTAAAGTCTTTTCCAGCATTTTTTGTCCTTAGGGCATATATTATTAGGGATCTATCATCAAAAACTATTTAGTTGGATTAGTTTCTGTATGGTTATACCAGCAACTAGTTACTCATTTAGATTCATTTATCTCATTTTAATTTCAATTTTGGGGGATTAAATTTTTTGTTATATAAAATTCCTACATGGTTTCAAAGTCAATGCTATAAAACAAGACGTATTCAAAGATGTCTACCTTCTATCCCTATTCCTACATCCTACTCACTGTGTACCTTTCGGGGAGAAGTCAACATTAGGATTGGTACGTATAACTATTACATACTATATTTCTTCCCTTGTGGGAAGAATAAGGGAAGAAATGATGGTGCTTTTCATAGTGCTACAATTATTCATCGTGCTACATTTATGCATAGTCCTACAATTAACTATATGCTAATACTCACCAACAGTCCTTAAATTGATATATCTCTAGTCATTTTAATTGTTTTAAGGTTATTTTCTAGTAGATACCTCAGAGATGACTCAGGGGATAATGAAAAGAGTTTGACTTTACACTTAAAAAACAGTTTATCTGAGTATAAAATACTTGGCTCAGATTATATTTTTCAGTTTACCCCATAAGGGATAAAATGTTGCTATTGAAAGTTCTCGACAGTTTGTTTTTCTTTCAGTTCTATGTGACTTAGACTTTTTGTCCAGATGTCAAAAGAATTGACTCACTTTCTTTAACAGTCAGTAATCTCATTAGACTTTTCTCAGTGGTACACAGTGCACCTGCACAACGTGTATTTTCAGATATATAGTCCTAATTTTAGGAACGTTTGTTTTTAATTATAGATTTTTTTTAAATATCTCTCTCATTTAATGCTTTGATTTTCTTCTTTGAGGACTCTTATACATATGTTGTTTCTTCTTTTCCTATCTTCCTTAAAGTTGAATGTACCAGAGATTTCCAGAAGGCTGATATCTGAATTGCACCTATAAAAAGCCTAACTTTGAGTGATGATTAAATTGTACGGAACATAATCCAAGGATAGAAGTGATTAACAAGAGGTGAGTTGAATGCGTGTTCTCTATAAATGTGACACCCAACAGGCTGCCTGTGTCCTAGTAATCTTATGTCCTCTTATTTTCTTAAGTGGCCAAAATAAGAAATTAGATGAAATTTACTATTGCATTTGAGATTATGCATAGTTTCCAAAGTAAAGTAAAACAGTCTCAGGGGAAATTATTTATAATTCGCTGCTGGCAAAGCTTTGTTTTCCTTGAGAGCTATGTTTCCTTTTCTTGATGAGAGTCATCATAATTAGGCTTTCTATTTCCCCTTGGCTGCTAGGAATCCAAATTGTGGCTCAGTCTTGCAATAATAAACATAATTACGCAGAGATCCTTACTGCATGCATGTATTCTTCAAGGTGGTCCCAACTTTTACTTCAAAGGTTTTTAAACTTTGATGTCAAAGGACAAGCTTGCAGAGAAATTATATACAAAATTTTGTTTGAATATGCATTTTTTTTCTGGGAAAGTCTGGACATTTCATCAGATTCTGATTCTAAAAGGCATCTGTGATACAAAAAGAATGTTAAAACTACTGTTCTTATATTATTTAATTTCATTTATAAAATAGAAACTTCTGTTCTAGTTTAATTTTAAACTTTCAGTTACTTACATCAAAATAAATTGCTTACTTTTGGAATCACATGAAACATTTTTTATCTTGACAAAATGTAATTAATAATGAACTGATGAATTTACAGTGTAGACTCTAATCACTGAAAATCAAGTCATGCCATTTACAAGTCAAGATCATGTACTACTGGAAAAAAAGCTAAGCTCTTTTTCTACAATTATTATTAAGGACCTGATGAAAAGTCATTGCCTGGGTTCACTAACTTTGGAAAGAAGGCTAGCATTATATGTGGTCATTCTAAATAGTGTCCCCCTTAAAACAGGTTGAGACACAAACCACTTCAATAAAGTCACTTACTATTTCTACATAAGCTAGTTTCATTTTATTTCTTCTCTAAGTTTCTCTTCCTCCTACCATTGCTTTGTGTATTTTTGTGCATGCGTAAATGTCTTGCAGTCTTTTGGTAAATATTTATCAAATTGGTCGTATGCTTCTTACCATGTAACAGATGCCTCTGAAGAAATGCTTCATCCACTTAACTAAGAATTAAGAGCTGCAAATAGTTCCCTTGCTTGGTGCATAAAGATGAAATATATTGTAAGATAGAGTGTTTTGTAGAATTAAAATAAATAGTAAAATTATATTAATATAATGTCTATCTGTCTATCTACCTACCTACCTACCTATCTATCCTAGTAGGGTGAAGAGGTAGAAAAAGGCATACAGTGCTTGTTAAATCAAAGCTGACCAAACTCAGGAGCGAAAAATTAAGCTCATACGTGGAAATCCAAAGTATCTCAATTAAATGGAATCACTTATCTAGAATGCATTCATTTTTTATTTTGCCAATGACTTATTTTTAATTATTTGTGGCAATTATTTAACTCTTTTCCTAGCATACAATAAGTTTGTAATTCTGTGAACAATAGATTGGCATTTAAATAAAAAGAGTTTTGTTTACTTGAGAAATAAAATTAACTTCTTCCGATTATGAACCTATAGGAAATATGGTTGCAGTTTACATTCTTCTTGCAATTGTCTAAGAAGTTAGCTCTGAATAATTTCTCCCTGTTTTGCTATTCTTAATGCAATTAGATTAAATTCGAGAATTTAGAGAATTTAGATTTGACTTGACATTTCAAAATATTTAGAAAGTGGCTGATGATTAAATGTTGAAGGGTAATATACATGATTTTCCATGACATGAATAAAAACATCTAGATGAAATTTCCCAAATCATTTGCACTTTAGGCAAACGATCACACAGTTTTGATGTGTTGAGTTATTCAGTCAACAAGAATTAGTAGTTAACTTGCAATTTGATGGACCTGAGATGAGGAGAGAAATATCTGAGGTTGGAATTTGTTTGTGTGAATGTTTTTTGATAAATTGTGGAGTCAGCTTAAATGCCTAAAGTGGATTCTGACACTGACACTCTTTTCTTTTTCCCTGCCGATTCAATTCACAGAGCCAGTGGCACTTAAGTGGTCAAATAGTTAGGTTACAAGTATTTATTAAGGTAAGCAAACCCTCACCCATTGCATGTGGTCAGACATCTGATTTTAATTATGAGAGAGGTGGATAAACATTGATGCTATGGTTAGATAGAAGCTGGTATGCCTTTTCTAAGCTCATTAGAGCTTATAGCTTGCCAGTTTACACACACAGGCACTCGAGGTCTGAAATAAAGACTTGTTTCTGTATTCTACTGATTATCTTTTAGAGAGATAAGTGCAGCTTCAAATGTAACCCTAGATTAAAAAAGCAAAAAATACAAAAACAAAAATTGACTAGCTCTCAGTTCACGTTCTCTCACACCCACCCTCCAGTCCCAACCCCTAGGTCTAACTGGAGCCATATTACTCAGTTATTTATCTCCAAATCACAACCCTATTTCTCTACCACTGCACATTTTCCCTAACTGCGCTCTAACACCTGCCAGAAACAAAAGACCGAAAACAACATCAAAGAAAACCCCACAAAGGTTTTGTTTAACTTCTCTTCCACCTCACCTCCCATCAAATGAATTCCTTAGAGGGCGCATCATGATTAGTAATGCCAGTTTTCAGTAGAACCGCTCTACTAATTTCACAAAAATCAGAATCATAAAGATAGAGGATTGAACACCATTCACGTGTTCTTGTTTCTTCTGCATTTTATGCTATCATTCTAAAAAGTAAAACTGATTTTTACTAATGTGTCATCATGACATATGAAGCACGTCAGGGAAAATTTACTTTAGTAAACTTAACTCATTTTACAGTAGCCTCGCTGAGCTTACCACTGATGTTAGTTTTTCATATTTCTTTTTCCTCAACCACCATCAACTTTATTTTAAACTTATGTGCTTCCTAAATAGAGTTTGGATGACTTTTCATCTCTGTTTTCTACTTCTCCTTGTTTTCTGTAGTCTCATTACCCAAGATAAGCGAGGACAAAGTTTCTAAAGGTTTTGTGATATTGATCACCTCTTGAACTGAGGAAATAATCTGGAAATATATTCCACGCCCCTTTGCCTCTAAGTAAAACCACGTGCATAACCAACCATTACTGAAGGAAGACTCAGGATCCCAGAGACAGGTGACCTGTGGTTACAGGCACCGTTTTAGAGATCAGACCAGCTCTGAATTGGCAAGCTATTTAAAATATATCTGTTCTACAGATTCCACCTGCTGTATGGGGTTGTTTATATAGTTCTGTGTAAAAGGTATCAGTGGGAAACAACTAAACTCGTATTACCATGGCTAAAATTAATAAAACAGCAGCAAACACTTGCCAATATAATACACGTTTATTCCCATCTTGGCATCTGTTTCTTGGAGGACTAAAGTGTGGATTTCACTGTATGTAAATTATAGTTCCCCAAAAAAAGTCATAATGCCTGGCATATAGTAACAGCCATAAAATGCGATTTTTGATAGCTCTCAAATGCCAGACGTGTTACTCCTATGCAAAAATGACAATGAAAATATTACTTTGACAGCTTTAGTTAAGTAGTTGCTTAAGAATTTCAGTGCTGTGTTTGAATTAACTTTAAGTACACTTTGGTCAAAATAAGGAGCTTAAGGATTTCCAATAAGGATTCAGTATACTGGTGAATTTAATGACGCTTTAATAGTTTTAAACGAATTATTTACATAAAAATTATTCAAAAATATTCAAAAAGTCTTTTTTCCCCTGGAATTAGTTAGAAAATTTTAAATATCCAGAATCTATCATTTGCATGTTTTGCTTCTTTTCAAATTTCAAAAGTAATACATTTGTGTTGTAATAAGTGAAACAACATAATACAGTTCAGAAATGGGCAAAGCTAGCAATCACCCACCCCTCCCTAGAAGTCAGTAGGAGAGATCCACCTTGTTCTTCTAACTTCTATAAGCCTACGTATGCACATAGGATTCTATACAAATCCTATCATAGTATGGATCCTTTATTAGTCATCTTCTCCCAAGTTTGATTTTCTGCTTACCTCACTTCCCCTCCCCATCCTTCGCTTTCATTGCTGCTTCCACTCCCTGGATTATGTATCCTTTTGTGATCCTATGTATATACACATTGCATGCACTTTTTCGTAATTGTTTACTTTACAAAAATATAATATTAAATACTCTTCCCTACAGGTCATTTTCCTCATTCAACACATTTTGGAATACCCCCAAGCCCCATGTCAGTTCGCATAGCTTAATTATTCTTTAACAATAGTTGCTAATATTACATAATATTCCACGAATAATATATTGAATCATTTTCCATTTGATTGACATTCATCTTGCTTACACTTTATTTTTTGCCACTTTAAACAATGCTGCAGTAATTTTTTTATATATTTCCTTTTATATATTCTGATACCCTTATACCCATAAGATAGAGTCCCAAAAGTTAGACTGTTGGAGTGAAGTGTATGCAAATTTCTAATTTTAATAGATATTGTCAGGTGTTTTCCAAAAAGACTGTAAGCATTTACATATCCACGTTTTTCACCACACCCGTGCCATCAATAGATATTATTGCTCATTTTGTCTTTTTATAGTCATATCCGAGTTGTTGAGAACTGTCATAAGACAGTTTCTGGCTCTTGGATAACTGAGTAGCCTTTAACGACTAGAGGTAGGAGGGAACTATGACTTCTTCGTCCCAATCTCACAGTGATCTCTTAAATCAAAGCCAGTCTCAAACCTAATTTTTTGCATGTACGTTTATTAGCAAGCAGTCACCCAAACGATCTAGCTGTTCCTCTAAGCAGTCTAAAGTCCCTACTCTCTGTCCTTACCACAGTCTCAGAGCACCTTGCTTTAAAGGTTTATCGCAAAGGAAATGCAAGAAAAATGTTGAAGCAAGACGCTTCTTTTCATTCTTACTAATTTACTAGATGACAAACCCTCCATTAAGTGGTTGCTGTGGAAGAGTGGGACTCTGGTGGCAT